TTTGTTCTTTTCTTGCTCTCCTTAGCTAAATAATCGATCAATCAATCAATTAATCCTTACTTCCTTCCCTTCCTCCCTGAACAAATTAAAGGCTGAACCACAAAATAATAATAAAAGAAACTTCTGGCATTTAGTCAAATTTGTCCTGACAAAGCATAGACAGTGGGCCCAAAAAGGGAAACTATGCAATTTCAAAAATAAAACAGTAATATGTATTTCTTTTTTAGAGTCTGAAGATCTTATTTTTAACGGATGTTGTCATTTAAGAATCTTAGGAAACAATGGAATGCTTAAGCCAAGTAATTATGCCTCTCCACATAAGGTAATGCCACTAAGTACTACCCTAGTTCCTAAAGGATGTATTTTTAGTGTCTGGCCTTTGTTTCACCTTTATTTGCAGATAATTTTTAGTTAAGTCTTACAAGTACTGTGTGAAGAAGAAAAGATGAAAGAAAGGAATAATTGCCTGAAGAAAAAAAGAGCAAAAAAAAAGGAAGTTTTTTGACAAATCATCAACAAATAACTCAAATGTGATACTTGGCAGTTCACCCATTCTTTCCCTGGAGGAGTACCCTTCTCTGATTCTGTCCAAATATAGTCTATACCTCCCATAGTAAAACAGGCTGAAGTCAAGACTAAAAATCATCATGGCATGTAAAAGAACGACCACCTCCTATACCAGTTTTTCTCAATCTCAACAGCTTGAAGATATATGGACTTCAACTCTGAGAACTGACCAGCCAACATGAGCTTGATTGAAAAACTATCCCACGTGAGTCCACCTCCTCCGATTCCAGACCCTTTGGGAGGCTTGACAAGCTTGATACCCCTCAATGAAATGTTTTCCTTAAAGATGATTTTTATGGCGTCTACCCCAGTGTTTTGGGGGTATCAACTGCATAGCTTTAAGCTCAAAGTGGCCTTTGTTCCATTTTATAATATTGCTTAATTGGAATTCTTTTTTCAATTATTTATAGGTTTTTGTCTGCATTTTCAGAAAATATTTCAAGGCCTCATTTTTAAAATAAAAAAATATTAATAATAACACTTTTAACGCCCTGGACCCGCAAACCACTTCTGAAATTTTGCAAGGAAAATGGCAGGGATTAGTCTAGGCAGTCACTAAAAGTTAAAACTAACCTGAAAGCAAACACTACATACAAAAGTTTTATGTGATATGTACCATTGAAAAATCTAAGCAGATGACAGTGCCTGGATAATTTTATCTACATCTATAGTGTGGGGCCAGATTAATACATGGATGGAAGACAACCAAGAAATCCCAGTGATGGGAAGCATAAACATTCTGGAGGAAAGCACTTCTATATGTTATCGAGCAGAGGTGGTATTCAGCAGGTTATGACCAGTTCTGGAGAACCAGTAGCGGAAATTTTGAGTAGTTTAGCAAACCGGCAAATACCACCTCTGACTGGCCCCGCCCCCATCTATTCTCTGCCTTCCAAGTCCCAGCTGACCGGCTGGGTCTTCTTTTGTTGCCCTGCATAGGAGAACGGAGCTGGAAAGCAGGTTAGTCAGGTAGGGAGCGAATGGGATTTTGCAGTATCCTTCCCCTGCCATGCCCACCAAGCCACGCCCACCAAGCCACGCCCATAGAACTGGTAGTAACATTTTTTGAACCCCACCACTGCTATCGAGCCAATTACATAGACCGAAGAAGACATGTTCAGAGGACTCATTGCTAAAGTAGCTATTTTTATCATCTTTGCCCAAATTCTGTAAATTCATTTTTACAATATTTATATTTTAAGGTTGATTTTTATATTTTGTATTGTTGTGTTTGATTGTTCACACTGTCCAGAGTTCTTTTTGTGAGATGGGAGGTTATACAAATATGATTAATAAATAAATTAGACGTATCAGTGTAGTCATAGAAGTAGAATCAAGAACTGACTTGAAAGAGACATCACCTTTCACTCAAGGTACACATCAGCCACTGGAAATTAAGAGTATGTATTCAACAAAATTACATTTGAGAAGCAATCTTATGGTTGCAATGAAAACCTGAAAGTATCCACCACCAACCTAGGTTGCCAGGGACAAATAGGAAAAAGGCAAAGGCTAATATATTCAGTATCAGGCAGTCTTGCTTTAGGCAAAATCTTAACCACACTTCTAATTTGCCTTTAAAAATCATATAGTAATATTAGGTATGCTAACTGCATACATTTATGAGAAACAGATTAAGCCACATTTTAGTTACAATTGTAGCTACAGGATTATCCATATCTTTTTTCTTTAGATACTAACATAACTTTGTCTAAATGTACCATCTGCAGAATGGGTACACTCCAAGTCCCACCAATTAAATGCTGTCACCATATGGAAGCAAGGTTTGCGCAGCTTACTAGGACCCCAAAACAACATTTAAGAGTGGCTTCCTTTATTGCTCTTCACCTATAGACAGAATCTTGCCAGACTAAAGCAACCATTGGCATAACTACTGATATATTCTGAGCATAGCCACAGAGGAGCCATTTTAACCTTCCTTCTGCTGAAGAAACATTGCAAGCTCCGCTGCTTCTTTGCTCTCTGGAAAACAGCTCCTCCCTGCTGGGAACCCAGATTATGACACCCTAGGTTCTTGGGAAGAACATGTTGTGTATGAAGGCCAACACAAGTTTAAAAAATTGTGACTTCACACTGTTGTGAACAGGTAACAATATCATCCTTGATTTATTTAGCATTTTAAATATTGTTTTGTCCAATTTGTAGAAAGTTAAGATAATTATTGAAGCTATTATCAAGCAGCAGAAGTCTCCATTAAGCTCCTCCAGTTTACTGTAATTTCAATTATTCAGCCAGGCTACATGAGTCCTCCAAATTTGCAGAACAATACTTTCAAATGACATAAGCCAGAGGTATAGAACTAATAAGTAACTTGTGGGTGCTCATTCCTATTCCATCCTGTTAAGCAGCCTTCAGTATTATCAAGCAGTTACAGACCCATTGCGACAACTGAACTACAGCATCACCCATGCACCTGCAAACCCAGCAATATGTACAATGCAAGGACTGGAAGGAAGAAATATTCACAGTATTTCTGTGCACCTGAATGTTTGGAAATGTGACAAAATGTTGTGAGTGATAATTTTAAAGAAAATGGAAAACACTCTGCATGTGGAGTAGCTTATAACTGCTGACTTTTCATAGGATTTAGAACTGGTAACGGAAATGAATTATGTCTGATAAGAGATCTTCAGTTCTTTCTTCCCCTCATATCTTATGAAATATTTCTGGAATAAGAAAGAAAAAAAAGACACCTTTCTTCTGCAGCTCTCTGGAAGCTGCCCTGCCTCTGCCATTTAGAGTCAGGTACTTATATGTTAATAAAGTATAGGACTAGTACTGATGAGAGATTCATAGTTCTTCACTATCAGTCAATTCAGGCCAGCTGACTGAGCTGTTATATAAAAAAATTGGAAATGTAAGTCTTATTATAGGATCTTGACTGAAATAATAATAGTAGTAATTAAAAGTTATAATGATAATTAGCCATTTGTCTGTTAGGTTTGAGAATTACAAGTCTTTTTGATCTTCTTTTCTTATTACATAATAAAGAATGGGAAGATTTTAATGGGAAGGAAAAAATTCTTTTTCTTCCTTTGCTCTCGAAACTTCAGCTGTGCTGCAGATCTCCATGAAAGTGTTCTTATTAAAGAAAGAGGCATACGCTAATATTTTATTGCAATTTCTTTACTTTTTCCTGTATTAGCTGCATAGCACTTTTGACTGCTTAAATTCCAAACAAGGTTCACTGCAATTTTAAGACACAGTTTAGGAAGTCTGATTAATCACTGCAGGGTTAACATATAAATTCACATATAGGATTGCACTGGACACAAGAAACATTGCAAATTACTCATCCTTCACTGGGGAAAACTGAAGCTTTTGCATAATTTTGCTACCTCGGCATTAGTGATTATTTTAAACTGAAACAAAATCAAAACCTAACTTTTTACTTTTTTAAAGTAATCTTTAAATCGAGGAAATTCATCTGAAAGGATCAAATACAAAGTAATAAATACTACATTAAACACTAGTATTTTAGCTCTCCCCAAAATTATTTGGTTCTCGATGGAGCAGTTTAAAAAGAAATAATGCTGTGACATTATTAGTTCTAATGGGGCTTGCTCGACTTGCTTATGCATGAATTTATCATGAAAAGAAAATTATACAGAATTGGAAGTTGTAAATTTTGAACAAAGATGTTATGTGTACTTTTTTTTAAAAAAAAAATATTCTGCAGTTGTGGGGAAGTTCTTAGGTCAGAGTACAAGACTGATAATAATAGCTTAAACAACAAATAACTGCCATTGCTTTATTGTAATAAAACAATTATACTAACAAAAATTTATACTGCCAGACAATGCCTTATATACAATAGAACAGAAACCTAAAACAATACCCCACAACACATAAATCTAAAGAAAGATTTGAAGGTTAAGTTAATATTCAGAGTCAGATCAGCTTCTTGTTAAGTAACCCAACAGGCTTAAAAACTATCATGAACTAGACTTTTTAAAGTTGATTTTACCCTATGCACACCGGGTAACCTCCATTTTTATTAACACCTAAGCCATCATGTTCAATAAGAAAACTGAATTATCTTTGAAACAACTGGCAATATAAATAATCATCTCTATTTTTATACAATAAAAATAACAAATATAATAGCGGTGGAAAAATTCAAATCTAAAAAAGAGATGGGAGAGGTAACATAAAATTGAAATACGATGAGCATGAATAAAAAAAGAGAGTTTATGGAAAGTTTCACCTTGCCCTCAAGGAAGAAAAAGGTTACATGCTGTTAGTAGGAGTGGACAAAGGCACAAGACATCAAGATGGGAGAGGGTGAATTTCTCAATTAATTTAAATTCAATAGCCAAGTCTCTGGCTACAGCTACTAGTTTTTATCTAAGTGGAAGGAAAGGGTGGGTGGACGGGTGGAGGGAAGAATTTTAAGTGCCAGGAACTTTTACCAAAACGTGGGTCAAGTCTTGGATCTAGCCAAGATGTAGTCTTGTTCTTATGGTTTATGTAGTAAATTTCTCCATCCTGGGTCATGGCTTGTTCCCATCCTTCAGGGAGCGGGCCTGTAACACAGAAGGAAGCAATTCATAGTAGGCTGTGCTATGCCTGCTGAAAAAAAGTAGCTAAACTTAAAAAAGAAACAAACCTCAGTTAATTTACATAAAACCCAGCACACATGAAACTAATTGTTTCAGCATATCGCGTGGCTCTGGGGGTTTAAGGGAAAGGAAGAATACTATAGCTGTGTTGCAATAAAACATTTGTTTCAAATATCTGGGGGGTGGGGGGGAGGATTTTAAATGCCCTAAAATTTACCCCATCTTTTGATTATTCTAAATTCTTCCTATTGAGAAAATGAAAAGGAAGGGATAGTTACAACTCCAGGCTCTACTGCCTGGCTTCGTAATATTGGGGTGTGGTATTCCTATTTTCATTTTTGTCTTGGCATCTTTTTCAGAATTAGCCAAACATTCATATTCCAGGACATTTCAGAACTATTTTAGGCACGTTTCTGTTCCTATTTATCTGTTTAATTTTCCATATTTTGTACATTATTCCTTATATTATACAATTGTTTTTATGTTAAACAGTGGGAGTTCTGTGTAAAAACAATATCCTGCAGGAACTCAGCAAAGAGGCTGTGTATATATATGATACAGGTCATCATGGAGCCCTTAGCCATATTTATGCTAATTTTGGGCTAGCAAACCATTGGATAGTTTCTGAGAAATAATCTTTTTTTTCTTTATATAAAAAGCAAAAGGGTCTTCTGATGGTTTTCAGATTCTTTGAACCATCATTTCAGATATCTCAGACCATTTTTTATCTTTAACCATGAACTTAGACAACTGGAGGGCAACTGTCCCTGTTCTACAGAATGGAAAAAACAATCATGTAGTTTTCACAGGTTTGATAAAACCATAGTTAAATTAGAGGATAAAAGAACTATATAAACCATTAATCAGGGAGAAACTTGTTTATTAGCTGGGAACAGCAATGTCCTGTTTTAATGAGCATTGCTAATGGTCCATATTGAAACATAACACATGCTCCACTTAGCTTCAATGGAAAACACACATTAATTATGAAAATTGATGGAAATTATGTAGGAAACGAAAATGATGAGCAAAGAAACTTTCAATGTTATTTCAAGAAAAAAACAGAGAGAATGAACATTTAAGCTGGAAAGGTCAACCAAGACAGAAGCTATGAAGAGTGTAGAAAAATAGGAAAGTTTATTTGCAATATGGGGTTTTTGAAAAATTCAAAACACTGAGAATAAAGTTATGCTGCTGAAATCTTTGCTCATGTCACTTGTTTAATGATACACACACACACACACACACACACACACATATATATATATACATATACATACATACATACATACATATATATATATGGCATTCAGCTTTGTTTGGGTATTTTCCCACGTCATTATAGTTGTCCCAGACAAACACAATACAGAAGCCTGATGATGGCAGATGAGATTCTGCCGAAACGTTGCCACAACTTTAAAAGCACAACTATAATGACGTGGGAAAATACCCAAACAAAGCTGAATACCATACATCTAAATACCCGCGAAAACTTAAGAAAACATATCTATATAGATATAGATATAGATAGATATAAATTGATAAGACAAGAGTTCTCCTAGATTTATTACTCCAACTGTCATAATACTCTGTAGCTTGAGAATAAACAAAATTGCTAAACCTCCATAATTTCATCCAATACAACTGTGGCAATTATTTTTAACTCTTATTTCTCATACTATCCTCAAACTTTTTCAACTGTTAAATTGAAAACTTGCTTCCTAATTGTAGGAAGTCTATATCTGTGCCTGTATCTATCACTGTATTTATCACCATTTATATAAAGTAGGCTAATTTTTTTTAATACCATAAAGCAATTCCATAAAAATGAGGTGAGGTTCAAAGAGCAAATATTGTTATTATTTGTTTTCATGTTTTAGAACAGACTCTGTAAATGATTTAAAATATATCAGTATTATCTAATGCCAGGTTAGGCTTGCAAAAAACTGATACATCATTTAATGTTGTGAGCTGCCCAGTTATGTACTTGAGATGAGTGTCTATATACTGTAAATAAAATAAAACCATTGAAGAATTGTCTATTTTCAACCACTAATTCTCTTATGATTAGTATGTTGTCATACTAAATACCATTTTCACAAAACAATTTTGAACTTCATACAATGCCATTAAATCATGTCTCACTGTTACATCTTGGGCCAAGATGAAACAGTGTGTTGCTAAGACTACATTTGCCACAAGAATAATTTGCAGTGTTCTCTCCACATTCTTAGATACCCATAATTATCATTTTTCACCAAGCTTAGGAAGTATGACTAATTACAAATCTTTATTACTCCTCAGCAAGGAATGTCCTTTCAAATCAGCAACATGTCTTATTGCACAGACAGATTCAAAAATAACTACTGTGAAACTTTTACCACTTTCCAAATCATGGTTTTAAAGAAAAACACACACTTATTCTGATAAAAATCCCTGGAGATTTCCATAAAAATATTTTTCTGAAACATTAAATGAGCTCTTTCTCTCTCATATAATCAACCAATGTTCTCAAATAAAAGTATTTTTTTAACATGCTGATAGAACAAGTAATAGTAGAACATTTGCAAGTTTTTATGCTATCATCTTTTCTTATCTTCTAGGAAGGAGAACCAGCAGATGGAATAAACTTTAACCATTTAGAATAAAACACCTGCTTTCTTAGTCAGAAAAGAATTTGCTCATACAAATGTTTTAATAAAGCCTACATTTTTATTTCAAATGGACAAGATACGGACTGAGATGAGGATTATTAAGACCCATTTAGTTGTAATTCAGATCAAGAGCCTGGATTTTATCTACTAAAATGAATGGAGAAGCTACAGATTAATAATCCAGGACTTTTCTCTCAAGGAAAGACAATTATTTCAGATCACTCATTATACAAAAACTTGTAGCAGACAGATATTACATATTATTACATTGTTACTGGGGAAAATTATAATTTCCAGCCAAGTTTTCTGTCTGCCTGTTCCAATGTCTGTTGAGTCATAATCCTAGCAGGCACAGAAATAAACCATTTCAGCTTAGTCAGTCTGTCTGTCTGGCAATACAGGACATAAAATTGGGTACAACTCACTTAATGACCACATAATTTAGCGATGGAAGGGGCGTTGGTACTTACCTGATACGCCCGTTCTCTTTAAGCTGCAAAGAGCATCCAGTAGTGGGAGGTGCTTCAGTCTCTGCATTCATAGGCTGAGCTTGAATTGAGGAATGCTCCTCCTCCTCCATGTGACTCCTCCACAGCATTCCCCAGTTTTGCAAAGACGAGAGGAAAAAAATCGTGCTCTCATCCTAACTACCTAATGGTTCATTGGCCGAAACAAGACCCCACCAAACTGTGAAATTTGGGTGGGGCTGGATGCTCTTTGCAGTTCAAAGAGAACGGGTGTATCAGGTAAGTACCAACGCCCCTTCTCCTCAGAGCTGCTCAGAGCATCCAGTAGTGGGACATACCAAAGCTGGGCCTGTCCTACGGGAGGGACTCCGTCTGGTCCGGAACCTCCTCAGGGTCTCTAAGAACCCGCTGGAGAACCCGTCTACCGAAGAAAGCCTCCGTTGAGGCAAACACATCAATCTTGTAGTGCCTAATAAAAGGTGACGGGGATGCCCAAGTCGCCGCCCGGCAGATTTCGGTTATTGGTGCCTGAGTGGCCCAAGGTTACTGCACTCCTGGTGGAATGAGCAGTTATACCTCTGGGCACCTGCAAGGCTTGCGACTGGTATGACCTAGCTATAGCTGCTCTTATCCAATGGCCTATGGTGGACGGTGACACTTTGTGACCCTGCGTTTTAGGCTAAAAGGAAAGGATTAAGGCCTCCGATTTCCTGAAGGGCTCTGTGCGCTTGATGTAAATTCGCAGAGCGCGTCTCACATCAAGTTTGTGCCATTGTCTTTCCCTTTCCTGCGATGGCCTGGAACAAAAATTTGGAAGGATGAGTTCCTGTGCTCTGGGGAAAACCAAATTGACTTTGGGTAAAAACATGGGATCGGGCCGGAGGACCACCCGATCGGCATGAAATACGCAAAGGTCCCTTCTGATGGATAAGGCTGCGATTTCCGATATCCGATGGGCGGATGTAATGGCTATGAGGAATACTTCCTTATATGTCAAAAACTGGAGGGTTGACTCCCTTAAGGGTTCGAAGGGGTGTTTAGTGAGCGAAATAAGAACTCTGTTAAGGTCCCAGGTTGGGTACCGGTGCACAGTTGGAGGGTGTAAGTTAGTGGCTCCTCTAAGAAAAGCCCGAATGCGGGGGTGGTGAGAAAGGGAACCAACACCTTCACAGGAAATAACCATTGTTAATGCTGCTACCTGTCGCTTCAATGTATTAGGAGACAGCCCCTTACTGAGTCCCTCCTGAAGGAAGTCTAAAATTTGGGCAACAGAAGGAGAAACTGGGTTAATTTGGAACTTGTTACACCATTTACAGAAAATGGACCATGTGGCGTTGTAAATTTGAATGGTTGAGGGCCATCTGGCAGCTAGAATAGTGTCAATGACCTTGCTAGAGAAGTTTTCTCTCTTCAGGCGGTCCCGCTCAACCTCCAGACGGCTAATTGGAGCCATTGAGGATCCGGATGCAGGAAGGGTCCCTGGCATAGTGAGATCCTGTCTGGTAGGATCCTCCAGGGAGGGGCCACTGAGAGACTGCGGAGGTCCTCAAACCATGGCCGTCTGGGCCAGTAGGGTGTCACAAGAAGCAACTCCGCTTGCTCATGCAGCAACTTCTGGATAACCCTGGGCACCAGTGCTAGTGGGGGGAATGCGCACAGGAGCCCCATGGGCCAAGGGCAGCGTAACGCGTTGTAATACTCCGCCCCTTGGGATGGGTACCTTGAGAAGAATCTCGAGAGCTGAGCATTGAGGGGGGATGCAAACAGGTCCACTACCGGTTGCCCGAAGATTGTTGCCGCCTCTTTGAATAGGGATGGGTGGAGGTGCCACTCCGACTGGTCT